GTGTGGTGCTTAGGCTGGGGTTAAACCACAGCAGTATTTTCTGGTGCCCAACAAAGAGCATGAAGGGTTAAGATAACAACAGATCTGACCAAAACGTGTTAAAACAAATTTGTTACAAGCATTTGTTATATTAGTCCAATAGTCACTGGTCACAATGTTGATTTACTGGCTCTTAGAGTCATGGTGCTCATTCTCAGTTGTGTTATGCATCACCTCACTTGCCGTATATAGTCCCTGTGCTGCTGCTGATCGCCCATAGGAGATGGATTAGGGTTTTCGCTTTGCTGTACTATGTAACACTGGTTTATGGTATGGTAATATTATCGGTCGTGGGACTATTTCGGTATTTGTACTCAGCATTGCTATCACCTCTGTACTTCGGGAGCCATCTAGCGAAAGTATTAATAATTACACCCTCTACCTTTTCTCCTTCGAGAGCCAATATATGGAGGAGACACATTTCTTCCCCTTTTCCTCCAGGCTAATTATAATCCTGTTTGAGAATTTTGAAAATTTTTAATATCCTTGGGATCTTGAAACTAATATGGTCCTCTTGCTAAGAACCAGCATGTCCCTGAATGTGAACCAGGTCTTGTTCAGTGTTAAACAACTATTTAAGAGTACCACCCAGAGATCTATCCCGGAGCTAGGGAGTCATGAGTGGCAGGGTGTGTGGGATAGCATGGGCAAACACTTAGGATGGTGGGCACCTCCAGAATTTTGGAACTTCCTCCTTGAACAAGTGCTGAATCCTGCATTTGGGAAAAGTATGCTGTCACCCTGACAATTTCAGGGAGACAGAAATCACTGCAACGTGCTGGGGTCTGGCCCATGCCTACCGGGCCCCGTTCACCACTATTCAGTACCCTCAAGGGGAAGAGAAGGTCTCTGGATCTGACAATAAAATGACAGGCACTGCGGTCACTCCAACCCCATGACAGGCACTGTAGCTGAACCAGAGAACCAACCCGTGCTGATACCTGTTGCTCCTATGCATAAGAAGAAATACACACATAATTAGTTCACTTAGTAAGGGATGACGATGAACCAGGGCCATCATGATAACAGGAGGAAGAGAGAGAAACAGAGGTAATCACCTAATCCCTGTCCCTGAATGAGCTGTGAGACATGCAAAAGGGTTTCAGCTGTTGTCCAGGTGAGCACATTATCGCCTGGCTGCTCCAGTGCTGGGGTAACGGAGCCAGTAGCTTGGAATCAGAGGGTAGGGAAGCCAAGAATCTGGGACGCCTTCCTAGGGAAGGGGGCATTGACAAAGTGATTGGAAAAAAGACACAAGCCCTCAGCCTCTGGAGGCGACTTCTGTCAGGCATGAGGGAAAGGTACCCGTTTGAGGAAGATGTTGTATGCCATCTAAGCAAGTGGACCACCATGGAGAGAGGTATCCAATATTTGAGGGAATTAGCCGTGCGGGAGATGGTTAACTATGACAATGTGCAGTTACCAACAGATCTAGATGAAGTCCAATGCACGCAGCCTGTGTGGCGGAAGCTTTTACGAGCTGTTTTCACAGAGTTAAGCTTAATTCAGGTGCTGCTCCCACAACCGAAAGCATAGTTTTATTCTTTAGAACTTGGGAGTGCCTAAGAATGCTATGATTTATTTCTTGTATGTGTGTTTTATAGTACTTTCTCATACTTATCTTCATTCACACAGATCTGTGCAACTCAGAAATAACCACATCTGGCCAGCTGCACACCATCTAGTTTTACTGCATTACTTCCCCAGCACAGATCTTATCACATCGCAAGCCTTTTACACTTACTTATCAGTCTGAAATGCTCTGTATAGTGTCCAGGTAGAGCTCAAAGTGCTAGCTTCAGCCTCTAAAGCTCTCAGTGGCCTAGGACCTGACTAGAAATTCTCTGTTATTTAAATTGAGATATACCTGAGAAAACTAGATCACTCTGCTAAAAAGAGCTATTATCAGGCTATTTTGGAGACTGTGCCTACTATTTAAACTTCCTATTTCTGTGGTAGATGGAAGTCCTGAGCTATTCCTGTGACAGGTTATTGAAAGCTATTTAAAGCAATTATTTGCATATGTATGGTTTTCAGTTTCATTTATAAATTTCAACTATGGCCAATCCTTGGAGTGGGATGGAGAGAAAGACATAGAACTACCCAAAATTCTGTTTGTGGTTGATGTTTTTCAGGGTTAGACAATATCAGGGCACTGGGGTGGTGTAGGGAATATTGGAGGGGAACAAATTTTCTTTGTGGAGGAGGCAGCTGTCTTGACCAGCAGTAAGAGAGTGTGAGCAAAGCTGGGGGGTCACCAGCTCTGCAGGTGGCAGAGGACCCTGCTGAAGCCAGAAGGTGCCTCGGCTGGGCAGTGGAAAATCAGATGGAGAGCATGAATGTGTGACTTTGATAGCCTTGCACTTACACCCTCCCAGCTCCTCAGTTTCAGTGTGAAATAGCCTGTACTGCTAAACATCACAGCGTGTTGCAAAGCTCATCTGTCGGTAACTGTGGTATATGGGACTGATGGGGAGACTGTCTGCCAGGACAGGGAGTTCTTCCTTTCTGTTTCATAATTTTAGTTTGTCACTGCTGACAAATTAGGGAAACTGCTGTGTAAGGTAGATGCTCTTACCTTTCACTTTTTATTATTTTGAAATAGTTTTCATTGGTGTGGAGCTCACTGATAGGATCTTTTTCTTGCTTTCCTTTCCAGTAAGGTCTGTTACCCCAGGGGAAGACCGACCATTACAGAGAAATTAAGGGCCATGAGCACTTTTCCTGGCCATTCCTCTCACAAACCCCTCCTCAGACTGTGAGCCACAATCCCCAGTCCCCTTCACTCCCCTTCTCTTCCTTTGCTGCTCCCACCAAAGAGATAATCAGAGCTAAAGGTTAGTGCCCATGCACAAACTTGCAGCATCACTGCGATGTACACCCTTTTACTTAACCATAAAAATTGCTACTTTTCTGTAGATAACTACACTAATATACTATCAAGCAGTCAGAATAGACTACCATCTTCTCCGGGAGGATCCGCAGTCCAAATTGTCATGTTTGTATATGGTAGGTAAATATGCAGACAGCTTTGGATTATAATTAAATATACTTACAAAACTAGTATGCAGACTGAAGCCAGTGATTAATTTTCCACAAAACCCACCCTTTCCTTTTCTTTCCTTTTTGCTTATGACTCTTCTTGTGCTCTGTGGTAATAATAATGCAGTAAATTAAATTCTACACTGAATGCAAAGATTAATAGAGGGATTTTTTTCCAAAGTGGCATCCTTTCTTGTTTTCAAGACCTCTTTTTCTCTCTTACCCTTCCCATCTTCCTTGTTCTCTCTCTGAATGTAAACGCTCATTGACAGATAAACTGTCATTTTTTCATTTCCAAATTCTGCTTTAAAAAATTCCTTCTTTGAGGATGATGAATTTACTGGATGCTGTGATGATGATTCCTCAGTTTTTCAGCAGTCATGATGCTGTCAATCAACTGTTGTGTATCACTTGAAAAAAGTAGTGATGACTCAACACGTAAAAGATGCTAAAATATTATATTACTTCAGGTTATTATAAAAATCTGCCTCTGAAATTTAGAGGCTATTCATTATTATTTTCATGTGTTTTTCTTGTGTCTTAGGGAAAACGCCTAAAGGCTTGTTATTTGTATTTTTGACTGCTGTAGCTAAAGCTGTTTGTTCTTTACTCTCTCTCTGTTCTTCACTTCATGCCATCTTTCTTCTCTGCTTATCCGCACACAAACAAACAAACAAACAGTGCTTCCTGCTGCCTCCTGGACTGCGGCCAGCTGTCCTGATGTCAACTGGCAAAGGACAAAACCAGCCCAGCAATAAAGAAACTTGCCAAGAAGCAATGCTCTGCAGTCTCAGCAGACAGAGCATCTTCCCTTTCTTCAAAATACCAGCAAAGATATCCTCTGCAGGCAGAGGTCTCCATACTGGAAATAATAGAAGAATTCAGTCCTCTAGTTAACTTTTCATTATTGTGTATAAAATAAGAAAACCAAAATAAACTGTCTTTCGACTGTCCTTCAGACCAACATCTCTGGTTGCAATGCTTTGCAGAATTTTTGTGTTTAGAGATTAATACACCAGTGAATAGTTAATTGACTTAAACTGCCCTTTCCTAAATAAAAGCTCATGGGGGCACTGTTTCATTATGAAAAGAAGGGAGAAAACCTGAGAAAAAACAGATGCTTCTGTTCACAGAATTTAATTTCCCACAGTGATACACAGTGATACTATAGAGAATGACACATAAGTGAGTGAACCATTATCAGTAAATTTTGGAGCTATGAAAACTCCTCAATGTCAAAAATAAATAACTACTTTCAAGGTAATTCATAACTGGAGCTGAGAACCAGTGGAACAGTATATTGGGAAACTTACACAAGGATTTCCAGAAGTAACAGTTCATTATAGCTATAGGTAGGATGTGGGGAAAAAAAGCCGTATTGTTGCTAACAATTGGTATGGTAGAAACAACATTCTAAATTCTAGAAACAAGAGCTATTTGATTAGGTAGGGAAAAAACAGGAAATCCTAGAGCATCTGTGCCGAAAGAAGAAATTCTAAAAAGAATGGATTAACAAGACACTTCTTCCCATTAATTCTTACACAAGCAACTTACCTATGATCCAATGCTAAAAAAAAAAAAAAAAAAAAACACAACAGAAACCCAAACCAAAACCCTCCAACACTTACTAATGCATACTGGCAGGAACACACACCAAAAAAGAAAAGCAAATCTGGTTTTCAGGGAGTGGCAGGAACACACACCAAAAAAGAACATCAAATCTGGTTTTCAGGGAATGTTTATGTCCAAAACCAGACTGCCTTCAAATTTTACAATTGTATCAAAACAGATTTTAAAAATTATAAAGTAAACCCGGTTTAAAGCTTGAATCATAGTAGATCTGCAGGATGCCTCATCCAACTAAGAGTTAAGGAACATGTTTTTATAAATCTTAGTAATTTTATTATTTTTCATCTTAGCTCTTTTTTAGAACTACTGAATCTGAAGTGTACTGAATGGGGTGAGTATTTGTGCTTATTTTCAGCTCTGTTAATTGAGGAGGGTGGCTGTCCTTGCTTTAACCTGCTTTCTCTGCTGAAGTCATTTTGCCTCATAAGCCCCATGGAGATTTGAGACGCAAAGCCAGTTTATTTCTGCAGTGGTCCCACTTTGTTCAGAAATATTGCCAAAGGCTTATTTGGAAACCCTTCTCATAGGAAATAGGAACATTTGGTACTTTGCAAAGACCGAAAAGACTCAAAATAGAAAGTACAGTTACCAACTGTGAGTATACTACCTCCCTTCAAATTTAACATCTGAGGAGAAAGCCCAATAAAAATAAAAAAATATTCATCAGATATTAAAATGTGGTGTGACTCTACGTATTGATATAATTATTGGTTAATTGATTGTTATTACATATGACATTTTCTGATACGGGCGTTACCACACATTCCATAGTAAAATGTTAAAGAAAAATACTATTTTAGGGTATACTTTCATGCTGCATTTTATGCCTGAAAATATAGAAGTCTTCACCATGATCAAAGAGGATGGGCTATTCACAACTGCCTATTTTGAAAAAAAATCTCAAATTTTTACAAATTTGTAAGAAATTGAAGTATGTGTTGTTATGCTGGAATGCCTCCTGTTAAGTGGGATGCAGAGGTGACTGACGGACAGGTTTTTTATGACTACCCTTCACGATTGCTTCATGCTTTCAAAAGAGAACAGTGTCATTATTTTACATGATCCTCCCCACAGCAAAGATGAAATCTATCTGTCCAGAAGGACTCCTGGGAAACAAACAGTTTTTTGTCAGTGTTCATCTGCTGTCATGGTGTCCCCAGAAGTTTCATGAAACAGATACTTCAACAGTAATAGAACAGCGAAGAAGTATAACCATACCAGCAGCTGAATTTCCTACCCTGGGTAGCTGAGTGGAACTGTGCATGGCCACAGTGGTGCAGGGAGGAGGCAGTGCTCGGGATTAGAATTTAAGCTTGTAGGGGAAAATGAGAAATTTCTTCCTTGAATGCAGTGGGATTCTGTCCTTCAGAGGATCCCACCCATGTCATCATATAGTGTGCTTCTATTTAGACCATACAGCAAATCTGTTCTGGTATTCCCATTAATAGTGTTTATTTGTTATTTATTGGAGGTCTTCATCAAAACAATAAAGCAATTATTTTGGCATTTCTCCACTAGCTGTGCCTTGGTGCTTGCAGATCTGATCTGCAGGCCATAATGTTAACTAAACCATCAAATAACAGTAAAGTATTCTAGATCCTAAAGATGCTATATCACAGCCCTTCGGAGAAATACAGCCATATGCTATAGGAAAACCAGTGCCCATTTTTAGCACAAGCAACGCCGAGATACAAATCATATCACACAGAGTCAGCGTTAATTAAGTCAGGCACCTACTGTTTGCCTAAGTTTGCAACAGCTATTAATTTGAAGGACTGCTGTAGCACTAAGAAAAGATAATTAACAAATGTAGCATTTCTTGACATGATAAACACAATTCTAAAGGGGCTTGTTATGGTGACTTCTTCTGGATAACACTGCTTTCAGTAAAATTTTAGACAATATACCATAGTAATTTAAAGGGAAAAAAATGTTAACAGATCTTACTACTGTCTCTTGGTAAAGTGGAAAAAGGCCAAGAGTTCTTACCATTGAATATACAGTGTGCAAAACCACACTACAACTGGTAAAATGATCAAAGGAGCATCAACATTTTGGCATTTATTTTCATTATTTTGAACACATAATTTTGCCAACTTCTGTGATATTTTTTAACTTACACATTTTTAAACATGACAGAAACTATATTTTGTTTAAAATCATATTGAATAACATACATGCTGTCACTGTCACTCCCAGGTAATTGTTTTTATCTATTTAGAGCACCTCTATTGATATCTTCTGATACCTGATATTCTCAGATACCTTTTTTTCTAGATTGAAGTGGTAACTCTTCCACTACACACCACCATAAGAAGCTTCTATCTAGGAAAAAAAAGAGACGATCTGGGTAGGACTAAGGAACAACTGCTATGATATGAACTATGATTAAAATGAGGGACAGGAGACAGCATTAAGGCTCTGCGAGGATTTAGACCAGCTACAGTCACAAGTTCAGGAAGATCCTCAGATCACTTTCACCCTGAACACAAATGTTGATCTCACATAATGAAGAGCTTTTCTTTAATAAAACTGAAATGTATCACTTCAGAGAAAAGACTATTGGGATAATTTTCTACAAAGCCTAATACCTGAAAACTAGTTGGCTGTTAGAGAGGAATTAAATATTTTAATACATATATACTTAAGTTTAGAATTTGTTACTTTTCATGTTAATTTACTCTCCTGCCTTTATTTTTTCAATTATGTTACTGTTCTGTTTATAATGAAGTTCTTTGTGAAATACTTCAGGGGCTCTTCCCAGCAGTTACTCTGTTTAAACTCTGGAGAAAATTATTTCAACCAACTTTCTAAGTTTTTAAATCTCCGTTGAGATGAACTCACATGGCTGGATATGCTGTGAGATCCAAGACCTCCAAAGGGTGCTCAATGTCCTGCCAATATCTGGATGTTCTGTCATGACATCAGGGCCATAAGATTTATCAAGAAATTGAAGAAATTCAGAAGTAATTAATACACAGGTTTTTAATATTTCAGGTCCACTAAACATAAGGCAAATTATGTATAGTCAGGTCCTTTACAGTACATTATTATACACCATCTACCCTGAAGTATCGATGCTTTAATCTTACATGAGATTCACTGCAAGCAGTCACTAGCTCCAGTCAGACAGTACCTTTCCCTCTGCATTGCCAAAGAGATGAAAGATGAACGCAACATCTAAATGGCAGTTCAGTAGCTGAAGAGTAGTTATGCTAACTTGTCCTTTAGTTAAAGGCTTGAGTGGCTGCTTCTGCTCAATGAAATAATCATAAATATACAGCAGAAAATTGACAGAAGGAACAGGGGACTAGTATTTTTTTATTTTAACTGTTGTGAAAGATTAACTGTGGGAGGAACACATATTTTCCATTTCTAGCTTGGAAAAGCAAAGTTGAAGAACGGTCTAACCATCCAGCCACATTTTAAGAAGCATGTAAAAATTAATACATTGGTCCTTAACATAGTACCAAATTTAAGTGGAATCTGCAGTATCGATGGAATATTTTTGTTTCTGATAACTTTACAGTCATGTTCCCTCTCTATTTAAAGAGTAAAATTTGAGTAAAATTGTTTATCAAGATGTCAGTAAGAGAAGGATTACATCATGTAAGCTTTGCATAATCAGCAAAGAATGTGGACACACACCCCCAAACCACTAACCAGTGCATTATACTATACAATCACTGATTTAATGCAGGTAGGCCAAAAGAAAAGTGCATTCATCGTACCCTGTCCTACGGTTTCTGAGCACAGACCCAGCTTCTGGCACTGAACATTGTATCCCCACAAGGGGCTCTACTGTCCCAGCTCTGCAGAACAGCAGAGGTTTTTTTCTTTAAAGGCTGGGAGATCTAAAAATACTTCATAGAGTCTAAAAAAAAAATCAGCACAAAGGAACAAAACCATAACTGAACGAGTTTTGGTTGCTAAAAAAAGGATTTTAGTTGCTAAATAAGCTAAAGCTGCCAAATGATGATACAGCTCAATTCATGGTATAGCTTCAAAATTTTAGACTTATTCTAACTTCAGGGGGCTGGCTGTAGAGTAACACCTTGGTTTGATGAGTTCTTATCACTGTGGAAAAGAAACAACATTCCTCTGCAGTGGGTAAGGATGAAGTGAAACTAAGGACAGGAAAACACCCCTTTACACAGGCTGGAGTGATGTGTACTTACAGTCCTACCTCTGGCTTCAGTCTATACCACTGAATAGGAATGACTTCAAACAAACAAAAAAAGATTAACAACATTAATGAGAGTAAAAAAATACTTTTTTAATGATGATCTGCATTTGCTGTGCCTTCCTTTTCTGAATATTATTCTTAGTCTGTATATTTAATGGTAGAATGTGCCTGAAGGGATGGGAATTGTTTCCAGTCCCAGAAGCTGGTTGGAGAACAGCATTGCCACACAATTAAACGAAAGAAAATCTCAGCATACAGATTAGGAACCTGCTTTAGTCAGGAGCTGAGCAGATTTTTGACTACTATGAGAAGCAGCTGAGAGACTATCATTAAAAATAATAAAAAACATATGTGATGTGTTTTCACACAGTGGAAATTGTGTGGAACTTCCACATATGATCATCCCTACCCACTGAGCTCATGGGGATAGCTTTGCTTTGGTGAGGTTTCAAAACAAGCCTAGAGTCTGATGGCGCTTTCTTGGGAAAAATAAAACTTCTGATGGAGTGTCATGAATGTCACCCGTTTGAGGCACCAAAAAGAGATCCTTCTCAGTATTGTAAACTCATGATCTTCTTCTAGCCTTTATGAAAATGTAAGCGTGATGGGACTTCGCAGCATGGATATTAGATGCCTCTGGAACAGTGGTATATATGTGATGTAAAATGTTTCTTCTTTCTCTCTCCCACGTGTTGCTTCTTAATACCCTGTAGCAGAAATTACTGCTGCCACAAAAAAGCAGCAGACGGGACTGCACGCCTATGTCCCACTCCACTACCAAACAAGCTCAGTTTTGTTGTCTCAGACCTCTTTAGCTGGCTAGGCTCAGCCCACTTATCTGACTTCATACTGAAACTGCAGAAGATGCAATTTCTTGTCTCAGCTGAGGTGTGGAGTAATATCCTACAGCTGGCACATGGTAATAGCTACCTGGAAATACAGTTTGAGCCTTGCACAAAGATTTAATTCTACAGCATGCTGAAGGTCACACTGATTAACTGTAATGGGAATTAGTTGTGTATAAATGCCTTACTCTTAATAAAGCAGGGAGGGAAATCAGTCTCCAATATGAACTGCAAAGAAGCAGCTACCAGAATAAGGTATTGGAGCAGCTATGATTGCTTTTCCAGTAGTATTAGATACTTTCAGTGAGCTTTTAGATACAAACCTTTATTGCTCATTCGTAGAAGACTGGGTGTTGGTGGAGCTACAGCTGCTTATGCCAGGAGAGGCACCAGTCCAGGCAGCAGATGGATGATTTTTAACTTGTATCATTTAAAGCACAATGACAAAAACTGCCTTGGGAAAACAACATGACTAAAACTATGTTTTCTGTGACTTACTAATGGAGTATTCATGCACAACATTAAGCTGATGAATATGAGTTTGTTGGACACATTATCCTTTCTCCCTTTGTGCAGGTTTCAAAGATTATAATTATGTTTGGTTTAATTGCTATTAGTCTCAGTTGAATTGTCACTGCTTTCAGCATTTTCAGTGTGTAGAAATTTATATTTTAAATTTGCCTTATCTGAAGGCACAACTTCTCATGTTGATTTAATTTTGTATGAATTCGGTGTTACTGTATTTTAAGGTCTGATCTATCATTGGGCTCACTTAAGAAATGTAGAAGCATTCTATGTTGATAATTGCTGTCCTAAATATACATAAAGCCACTTGACACGAGTTAAATCAGACACCAGAAGCGATGCGATGCTGCTAGCCCATCCATAGCACTGTGCTAACCTAATGAAACAAGGTGTAACAGACAGCACAGATTTCTACTTAGTGTGGCTATATGGTTTCTGGTACCAGAACTAGCTCATTTAGAGTTAACTTAGCTCATTTATCTCCACTCCACTTGCACTGTGGAGTAGACATGCCCTGAGATAACTCAGAAATACATATAAACCCATATGAAAGTAATCTCCACAGAGCTCTAGTTAGACCATTCTCATGCAGTTTCTTCCGGTATGTGTTTGATTAATAATGTTCATGCCTTACTCTTGCTTTCAGTACAGGGTTGAACAGGGTCCTGCCATGCTCTGACTGGTTCCACTGGGTGAAGGTGCTGTTACCTGGGGACCTGCTTTCTGCATGTGGGGGCAGTTCTGCGAGGTCACTGAGGTTACTTGTGCATGCACCTAGGACTGATGATTGAGTATACACTTCTTCAGGGCTTTTTTTTTTTTGCTTGTCTGTTTCTTGTGTGGTTTTGCCTTTGTATTTTTGTTTGGGTTTGGTGTTTTTTGTTTGTTTGTTTGTTTGTTTGTTTGTTTTTTCCAGACTGCATAATCACACTCCATTCCAACTGCAAGAATTTACTTCAGATTGAGGTAGAGATAAGAGGTCCTAGCCATCTCTTACACTTACAGACTAGCTGCATGGGTCCTGCAGGGTGATGAGGATTGCTACAGTTAGATGCTTCATCCACCACAACCACACAGACCTGAGTGCTTCCCAGGCAATTAAGACCCACATGCACAAGAAGCTGTGCAAGACACACCAAGCAAGAGGATGCGCCTGAATTCCTCCTACTCTCTAGAAGTAGGAAGACACAGTCATGGCTCTACTTCAGATTCGGTACATTTTGGATCTTGAGTGTAGTAGGTTCAAAAAGGCCAGTCTGGGGTATTCAACCTGCACTGCTGTC